GAGGTGGAGGCAGAGATGATGACTTGGAGAGATGGAGCAGGTGGGGACTTTAGACACAGAGAGGGCGAGGGGCTATGTGCTGACGACCGGGGTGCAGGCTTGTAGTGTATACCTTTTAGTTGGTTGATGATGCTTGGAGGGGATTGTAACCATGGCAATGCAATGATATACTAGAGAATGAATGTAAAACTAACGTTCTCCCATGTAAACTATCACATAATTCACAATAAAACATTAAAAAAACTCACCAAAAACAATACATCTAAGTCAGTGGATATAATGACCCAAAAGACATTTTAGGAGAAGTATAGTAGGTTTTCTCTCTTGGTGAGCAAAGAACTCATGTGGTTTTCTCAGAAGATGGAGCTAATGACCACAGTAATAGGCTGGATAGACCCAGAAAGAAATGGGTTTGCTAGGACTTTTCTGGTGTGGCACTGTAGGACGATGCACTGGACCACAAGGTCAGTTTGAACAGCAAGGTCAGCAGCTCAAACTCACCAAGTGCTCCTTGAAAGCCCTATACAGGGTCACTAGGAGTCAAAACTGACTCGACAACACTTACCAAGCACAGAGTTTTCTTTAGTTCTGACGTGAGATCATTCCTGCAGTTGGGCAGGGCCTCCCCTCTAACCCACAGTAGTTTAGCTAACAAAACTAATAAAAAACCTCAAATACTCAGATCCTAATCCTGGTTCATCTTCTAATTGTCCCCAAGCAGAATCATCTCATGTGCAGAACTACTCTACTCAACACACACTTTCTTAGGCATAAGACACATAAAAATGCTTTGAAAAAAAATTAAAAGATTTGAAAAATGTGGCCTCGAGTGGGTTTTTTTCTTTTAGGTCTTCCATATAACACAAGGTTCATCTTTAGAATTCTGGGTATCAATTGATATAATATAGGCAATCCACTAAGACTAATAATAACAGAAAACAAGAAATCAACACTTATGTATTGTTGTTGTTGTTAAGTGCTATCGAGTCAGTGCCGACCCATAGTAAGCCTATACAGGATTTCCGAGGCTGTAAATCTTTATGGGAGCAGAAAGCCTCATCTTTCTCCCACAGAGTGGCTGGTAGTTTCAAACTGCTGACTTCAAAGTTCACATCCCAATTCGTAACCACTATGCTACCAGAGCTCCTTAAGTACATGTATTAGGTACATGGTAAGGAAACAATCATATTCCAAAGGGGTGGCATTCTCAGCTTCCATGAAGGAGACCAAAGTTTGATTTCCAGCCAATATACTGCATGTATAACCACTACCCAACTGTCAGTGGAAACTTGCATGTGACTATGAAGCTGAACAGGTTTCAGTGGAGTTCCAGACTTAGAAGGAATAAGAAGAAAGGCCTGGTATCTACTTCTGAATAAAAACCTTATGAATCAAAGGTCTGATCTGCAGCTGTCATGGATGGTGTAGGACTGGTATTATTGTGGATGGGGTTGCCATGAGTCAGGGCCAACTCCACTGCAGCGAACAAAACAACATGTGCTCAGCACTAGTCTACGTATGCACTTTAGAAATATTGACTCATTGGCTCCGCATAACAATCCTCGGGTGGTTGCTGTTGTTAAGTGCCGTTGAGTCGGTTCCACTGATAGAGACACAGGATTAGGAAGCCTCATCTTTCTCCTAATTCTCAGGTGGAGGTCCTATTTTCACCCGTTTTATAGACACAGAGAACTAGTACCTGGTGGAGTGGGATTAGAAACAGGCAGTCCGACTCATGAACAAGCAAGGCAAATTTACGATGTCTATTTCTAAATTCTCAGCACTGTGAATACAAGTGATTCATAACGATTCAGTCAAAAACCATTTATTGAATGTCCATGACAACAGAACGGCAAGGTATGTTTTACTAATTATCAGTTCTCAAGAAGAAATATCTTGTCTGTTTTCTCCACTCATCTTTAAAAAACAAAACAAAACTGATGACAAAAAATTCTCGTAAACTCCCCAGAGTTTGGGATTGGGCTGTGACAAAAAATCAAGGAGCCCTGGTGTGGCAGTGGTTAAGCAATCAGTTGTTAAATTAAAAGTCAGTAGTTCAAACCCACCAGCTGCTTAGCAGAAGCAAAATGTAGCAGTTTGCTCCCATAAAAACGTTGTTGTTGCTAAGTGCCGTCGAGTTGGTTTTGACTCATAGTAATCCTGTATAGGGTTTCAGCGGAACTGCTGGTGGGTTTGAACTGCTGACATTGTGGTTTAAGTCCAGTGCTGATCCTATAGCTCCACATTGCCTTGGAAATCCTATGGGGGCAGTTCCATATTTGGTGTTATTATACGATCTCTGTGAGACAACACTGACTTGAGAGCAACAGGTTTGGGCAGAGTCTAACTCACCCTGACACCTGCCTATCTTTTATACCAGGGAGGGGAAAGGAAAGAGTCGATGATAGATACAAAGGCTGGTCCACCAGACAGAAGTCCTGAAACAATAAAAAGTTCCTTTCAGAGCAAAAACTAGTTTTGGAAACTACATCTAAAACTAGGTGTATGGGGCTTAGAGGACAGGGGAAGCCCATAAAGTCACCAAAGGCAATCAAAGGAAACCTTCAAAGGGTCATGGATGGAAGGAGCTCTTAACAGCTTAATAACCACATTCTTGAAGCAACCCAAGTGCCCACTGACAGATGAATGGATAAACAAAACATGAAGTATACAATGGAAGATTTTTAACCATTAAGAGAAATGAAGTTGTAAACTAAAATAGGAGAACATGCAGACCTTAAAAACATTATGCTAAGTAAACAACCAGACTTAAAAGAAGAAATACTGCATGATCCCACTTATATTAAACTTTTAAGAATAGGAAAATTCAGAAACCAAAGTAGGTAACCTAGTGATTCCCAAGGGCTTGAGGCAGGAAAAGATGGGGAGTGATTGCTTTAGGGGTACTGCATTTCTATTTGGGGTGATAAACAAAGTTTTGGCAATAGCGTGATGGCTATACAACATTTTGAAGGCAATTAATGTCACTAAATTATACACTTAAACAGTAGTTGAGTAGCAAATTTCAGGCTATATGCATTTTACTGCAAAGTTTTGAAAATAAAAAATAAATAGCCAATATAAAATAAAAATTTCAACACAGGAGGAAGTAGGTTGATTTCTAAGCACAACACGATGAGACTCAGTCTGGTTCACCAAGGCGTGCTGCGTTGAGATACCACACATAAGCATACATGCACACATACCAACCATCAGCAGTATTTTAGACAGAATGTAACCAAAGCCTGTGCTCCCTACATGGCATGCACACAATGCATCATGGGGACATGCCAGTGTTTCCAGTGTGGCAGGGAAGCAGTGAGACTCACCTGTAGGTGTATGGTCCCACTTCTGTAACATGTGGGGTCTCCCCTTTGAGGATCTCTTCGGGATTGGTGACATTGAAGAAATAGAACTGGGTGTACACGGGCAATGGAGGCGTCTCCCAATAGTCAAAGGTCTCCGTACCATTCTTTAACACAATATTCTAGGGCAGAAAAGCAGAAGGGCATTATTTTTTAAAAACATAAGGCAGTATAGCTGATTGGAATACCTCAAAAGGGTTCTAGAACTTGTCCAATGAAATAGGCTTCTTGTGGAGCCTTTGCAGTGTATAGGGCCTTGGTGGAATCCTAAGCCCCATTCAGAACCTTATAAAGTGGGACAGTCCCACTAGAAAGGATAAGAAGATCAGCCTGGAACAGCTAGAGCAACAGAAGATACTTCTTGAAAGAAAGATCAGCTGGAAAAATCCAAAACAAAAATGGCAGTCTGATTGGCTCCTACAAGAAAAAGCAAGTTGTTTGCTGGGAAGCCATCAAGGCAAGCAATCAAGTCCCTTCAAGACAATCCCCCCCTGTAAGACTGAAACTCAAAGGGAACACATGAGCAGACATGTACACTTGCTGGTAACCATGTTGGTCTACTGGTGAAAGGAAGAGGGGGAAAGGCAGCAATGAAGAAATGGGCTGAGTTCAACCATGTTCAAAAGACTTTCGTTTTCCTGGAGATGAGAGAGAGAAGAGGAAGGGCTAGTTGATCTAAAGAGTGGTGAGACCTGGGGACTCCTGAGACCATGGACAAGGACATAGCCATGAAGGGCTGGGCTGTAGGCTTGATGGCTTGATAATCAGAACTTGACTAGAGGAAGATAAAACAAAACAATTTTTGATAAAGTAAACAAGTGTAAATTGCTATAATTTGATGAACTTGACCTATATTTATGGATGTAGTAGCCCAAAATACCAACTGACAAAGAAGGAGTCTTCACATTAAGTATCAATGCTGTCCCCTCTGTATACAAGATAGATAGGGATGGGCAACTTAGACACTGGCTATCTAAAATGAGGGGACAATAAAGGCACAAAGTGACTGGCTTGCAAGTTTTTAGGAGGGAGTTTAGTTTAAGAGTGTGTGGGAGAGGATAGAGTGCCCACTGTATAGTTTTAATCTTGTCTAGATGGGTCTGTTGAAAAGAGATGGGGATAGATTCTACTGATTCAATAGTGAGTAATAGTTATCACAATTAATTGTGACTATCACAATTGTAAAGGTAGAAGTTTTGTATCAAAAACAGGGGAGTAGTTAATCTTACAGTCCAGAAACAGAGGACCCTAGGACTCTCATGGGAGAAGAGCACAAGTGGGATGCAGGACACTGTCCAGAGAAACAGTGACACCAGAGACAGAAGCAGAGATAGGGATGTGGAGAGAGGGAGCGGCTGATGACTCTAGATTCATGAGAAGAGAGGGACTGAGAGCTGGCGGCCAGGAAGCAGGCTTGCAGAATGTGCCCTTTGGTGGTATAAATGTTGTGTACACCCCCAAAATACACAAAAAACAGAGGGAATAGAAGCAAATACTGTTGAATGATGATGCTCGGAGGAGATTGTAATTATTGCAATGAAATGATCGTGTAAAATTAACTGCAGGCTGACCTGGAGTGGTGTGACCATCCGCAGACTCAGGGGCCTACAGGTCTAGGATTCGGCTGGAGTTTGGCCACAAGGAGTGCAGTTCTCCTGTGTTCCTATCCTTCTGGTAGCCGAGGTGGTGGCCATCCCTGCCCTTGCCAACACAGCAGCCAGTGGCACCCCCTCCAGTGCAGCTTCTCAGCTTGGGCTTCAGCACCAGGCATAGTGCCTGTGCTTATGGAGGTGTGTGGACCCTCTGTGAATTGTGCTATACACACAGGGAACCAAAAACCACATTCACACCTCCAGTCTCTACCACATCCACCGGGAGACAGGTGGTGAGTGTCTGAGAACACACCAATAGAGTCATCAAGCAAATATAAATACAACACCACAATGTCTTAGGGAAAACAGATAAATTTCAACGTTTGTGAAGAAACAAGACAGAGTGCCCCAAATAAGTGACTGAAATACAAAGTCAGAAAACACAACACCAGGAATGGTATCAGAACTATCTGTTAAAAACTCAAAAGAATGCTATCTAGGCACCTTCAAGGGACTGAGAGAATGATTGAGAAAACTACAGATGAAATCAAGGAAAACACAGACAGAACTGCAAAAGAATTCAGGAAACTGACAATAATACATGAAAAAATGGGAACCCTACAAAAACAGTAATTAGAAAGCCAGAGGATGATCAGTAAGACTTCTGAAATAGATAATACACTGAAAGGGAAAAGAAGTAGAACTGAATCAATGGAAGGTCCAATTACTGAACTTAAAGAACAATCTCCCAACAGTCACTTGATAGAAGAATGAAAATGTCTGAAGAAAGCCTAAGATTTATGTGGGACACTATTAAGAGGAATAATTTACATGTTATCGAAATTCCAGAACAGAAAGAGACCAAAAAATCATAGAGAATATTGTCCAAGGGTTATTAAGATGAAAACTTTGTTAACATTAAGAAAGATAATAAACTATCACATGATTCACAATAAAACATTAAAATAATGTTGAATAAACTTAACAATATCCCCAAAAAAGACAAGAACATAGCCATTGAGAAATTAAACAAACTCCAAATAGGATAGACTCCTAAAGAAAAACACCAAGACCTACTACAATCAAACTTTTTCAAAACCAAAGAATCCAGAGAGCAGCTCAGGAAAAATGAAAAGTTACCTACAAAGAAAAAAGCTAATCAGACTAAGCTCTAATTTCTCAGCAGAAATCCTGGAGGCAAGAAAACAATGGAATGACATACATAAAACTCTGAAAGAAAAAACATTGCCAACCAAGAATCATAAACCCAGCAAAATTGTCCATCAAATATGATGGCAACATTAGGTCATTTTCATATAAACAGAAAGTGAGAGAATTTGTAAAAACAAGACTAACCTTACAAACTCTAAGAACTCAAGGGAGTTCTTAGAACAAAGAACCAATACCAGAGAACAACCAGGGTCTCACATACATGACTCTATCACCCAGATACAGAAGCAATCAAAAACCTACAAGACTGCAAATAAAGAACCAGAGATACACTTGCAACAACACAACAACAAAAACCATTGAGTAAAAATAGTGAACAATGTAGCTACAGAACTGCCAAATGAAGAGGAAATCTAGTAGATTTCAAGGCAAAATGAAATAAATAAAAAGAAGCCTAACTGTAACCCTAAAAATTGGTGGTGGTGGTGGTGTGGCATGGAGTCAGTGTCAACTCATAGTGACCCAGCATAGGTTTTCCAAGGCTGTAAATCTTTATGGAAGCAGAAAATCTCATCTTTCGCCACAGAACGCTGGTAGATCCGAACTGCTTACCTTGAGGCTAGCAGCCCAATTTGTAACCACTACGCCACCAGAGCTCCTTAACCCCCAAAACTAGACCAAACCTTACTCTTAGCCCTAACCTAGTCCCTACCCGTAACACTAACCCTAGTCCTAAACATAATCCTAACACTAAATGAAGTCCTAGCCCTAGCCTAGACCTAGCTATAGTCCTAATCCTAACTCTCAGTCTATACTCCTACCCAGTTCCTCCCGCCACCTCCTCCTCCCCCCAAAAAAGATAATAGTAGCTCGGTGATCTACTTTAGAATAGAAAAATCAGCCACTGAAAACCATATGGAGCACAGTTTTATTCTGACACGCATAGGGTTGCCATGAATTGTAGTTCATTTAATGGCAACTCATTAACGTTCACTGCAATTTCAGTTACAATAACCAGAGGTGAAAACAACCCAAGTGTCCATCAACAGATGAACAGATAAACAAAGTGTGGCATATCCATACAATGGAATATTATTTGCCATAAAGAGAAATGAATTTCTGATACCTGAAGCCACACAGATGAATCCTGAAAGCATTATGCTTGAGTAAAATAAGCCAGACACAAAAGAGCACTTATATAAATATCTAGACTGGGAAAATCCACTGAGACAAAGTAGATTGATTAGTGGCTACCAGGAGCTTGGGCTGAGGGCTGGGAATTACTGCTTACTTGAATATAGATTTTCTGTTTGGTGGGGATGGAAAAATTTGGGAAATAGAGGTGATGCTTGTAGGAAAAACAACATTGATCACTCACTTTTTTTTTTTAAGTTTTTATTGTGAATTGAATGCTAGTTTACATGGGAGAACATCGGTTTTACACTCACTGTTTCATTGCAATGATTACAATCTCCTCCGTGCATCATCATTCAACAGTATTTTTGCTTCTATTCCTTCTGTTTGTTTGTTTGTTTGTTTTGGATGTACACAAATGCACTCAAGAATATATATTAATTTTAACAACCAAAGGGCTCATTCTGCAAGCCTGCCTCCTGGCCACCAGAACCTGGCCGCCAGCACTCAGTCTTTCTCTTACCATGAATCTAGAGTCCTCAGCTGCTCCCTCTCTCCATGTCCCCATTTCTGCCTCCATCTCTGGTGTTGCTGCTTCTCTGGATAAGGTCCCACATTTCATTCATGCTCTTCTCCCTTAATGGTCCTAGGGTCCTCTGTTCCTGGACTGTAAGGTGAACTATTTCCCCTTTTTGTTACAAAACTTCTACCTGTACAAGTCGTGACCATTGAAATTAGTCATGATAACAATTACTCATTATTGAGTCATAAGAATCCTATCCTCATCTCTTTTCGCCAGACCTGTCTAGACAAGATGAAAACCATTTAGTGGGAGTTCTACCTCCCCCCTACACACTCTTAAACTAAATTCCCTCTTGAAAACTGATCACTCACTCTTATTGTGCCTGTTTACTCATCTGTATAATGGTGAAAATACAAGTTCTCTAGGATCGTCATAGGTTTCAATGAGATTTTGGAAGTGTGCTTGTATATGGGCACACAGAAAGTGCTCAATATACGGTGGCTGTGGATCTTGATTATTAATTACCATCTTCAGGTATGGATGACTGAATAGTAGGGGCTCAGACTAAAGACAAATCATAATTATGTTATTCCCATAAGCTTGCTGAAACATACACAACCCAGCAAATGTTAAACAATAAGAGAGAAAGAAAAACACAAACAAAACCAGAAAGTTTTCAGTCATGACTCTCTTCCAACTCTAT